GCTATGGATTTTCATACCAAGTTCCTCATATAATTAAACATAGTATTGTTAAGTAACTTAACACAGTACATCTCAATATATGATATCACCCTCCTTGCATGAAGTTAACAACACTTGCATGCAGCCACTACACGTCAACACCGATCTAACAAGTAGGCAGGAACACACCATTTAGCTAATTATAACCCAAGATTAAAATATGAAGAAAAGGCATGTTAAAACCGACAACACCATCCTAATTGAAGAGCGCGCGCGAGACCATACCACATAACCCTAAATTAAACTAAGACGGGGAGACCTAATTCATAACCCAATGCATGCATGCATGCATAATCCAATGCATCCCCTACGGTCACAGCTTTCATTCCCCGACGATCACATCACATTCCCCGACGAGGAGGAGCTGAACCCGGACAAGAACTCCGTCGGCCACCCGCCCCCGCCACCGCTCCCGGGCCAGTACTGCTCGTGCGCTCCGACAAAGCCGCCTCCAGCGCCGCCAGCGCCCGCGCCGTGCTCCTCCATCTTGATCGACGCCAGCTGCGCGAGCAGCCCCGACGCCACGCCTCTCGGAAACCCGTCGGCCAGCTGTGAGCCGATGTCGCCGTCGGCGATGTGGTACCCGTGCAGCCCTTGCTGCAGGAACTGCGGCGGCAGGAACGGCAGGTTATGGTGTTGGTGGTGGCTGTGGCTGTGGTACCCCTCGAGCGACGCCTCCAGTGCGGCTGCCGCGGGGAGGCCGCCTAGGTGGTGCGGCAGCGCCTGCATGCTGGCGATGACGTCGGCCGCGGTCGCCGCGGCGGCGCTTGTGGTGGTCGAGGTGGAGGTGGTGGAGGAGGACGACGTGGCGGCCGCGACGGCACCGCCGCCGCCCTGGCCCTGGCCCTGGCGCGACGACTTCTTGCTGGAGCGCTTGGTGTTGCGGCGGCAGCCGCCGCCGACGGGGACGTTGCGGAGGGCGCCGCCCCGCGTCCAGTAGCGGCGGCAGGCCTTGCAGAAGTGGCGCGGCTGCGAGAGCGAGTAGTTGTTGAAGTAGCAGAACTTGGTGTTGGCCGAGTCGCAGCGCGGGCACCGGAGCGTGCCGGGCTCCGGCAGCGGCACGCGGGCCATCCGGGCGCGCTCGGTCATCGACACTGACGGCCGCGGCGGCTGCTCACCCGGGTTACCCTGCTGTCCCGACACAACCAGCTGCAGCGAGGCCGAGGACGATCCGGCCACCGGCGGCGCGCTTGCCGCAGTGTTGCCGGGCACGTCCGGCAGCGGCGCCAGCTGGCCGGACGACGCAGGGATCAGCTGGTGGTGCTGGTGCTCGCTGCCGCCACCTCCTCCCATGAAACACTGAAGAGGCTGCTGCTGCATCTGCGCGAATTAGAGGCCGGATACATTATTTATGACCGAATAAACTTTAAAGCATGGTATATTCAAGAACATGCTTAGAAGGATGCTAAAAGCAAGTCCACAAAGTGTGACCAAATAAGAAAACTTCAAATCAATCAACAAGCACGGATCACGGAGAAAAATAACCAGCCAGTGAAATGATCCGATTGTGCTGGTGTGTGTCGGCATGTTGAAAGAAAATGTTAAAGAAGAGAGAGAGGGTCAGCTAGTTAATTACCTGGGCCCAACTTGGAGGGTCGAGGAAGATCGGGAAGGAGGAGAAAACCATGGTGAGATGTGATGAGGAGTTCCCCTTGTTCCTTTCGAGCAGAGAAGACAAGTGAAAGGAGAAGAGAGGAGGGGCAAAACCAAACCACGCCTTTTCCTCCCCTTGCAAGTGCTCTCCCTTTATAATTTATGTGACATTTCTTAGCAGCTAAGGGAGAATGAGCCAGTACCCGGCAACTCTGCAAACCAGACAGAGATCTAAAGAGAGAGCGACACTGAGCTCAGCTATAGCTAGTGCGGATGGATGTCATGGGTCATGAGAGGGAGGGGCAACTAAAGGTGATTGGCCAAACCCTAACAGTACGTAGGAGCGAGCTAGCTTAGTGCGAGAGGAGAAACGCCATGCTAAGGAAACGTCCAGCACAGCAATGGAGAGGGAGGTGAGGAGATGATGTGTGCTGTGTGAGATGGATGAGTGAATTGAAGGCCCCTCCTCATGCTTGCGCCCTGTATTTATACACCCCCCGGAGGCAAAAAAAGAAGAAGAGCTGATCAAAGCTACCGGCCGGTCTTCTTGGCCCTGACTGCTGGCCTAGTGTTTGTTAGCTAGGGGCGGGCCCCACATGTATTCCGAGCTGCTGGTCGAATCAGATTCGCCTGTGGGTGTGTACGGATGTTTGTACTGTGCACATGGGTATATTGGAGTATATAATTTGGTGGTGAGACGGGACAGGTTTGGTTTGACGTGACCATGGTGTGCCGCTTTAATCATGGTTTGGATTACTTAATTTGGAGTGCAGAACTGCAGATGAGATGCGTAATGTAAAGCACACTAGAGAATCAAGAGGGTATCACAAATTCACAGTGCTTAATGTAATGCACTCGTAATTTAGAATCAAGAGGATATGTACTCCTAAATCCTATAGGGATATATATATATAAAATCATAGTAAGAGTTAGCATCACTGAGTGTTTGATACACCGCGGGAAAAAAAGAGGAGATAAAGCAAGAGGTTTGAGTAGATTGTAAAACGACTTCGGAAAAAGTTCACTGAGATTCGTGAGATAAAAATACTACTACTAAAAAGTTTCTGTGAATACTGTATTCATAAGCTCGGTGATTTTTACTAACATATACCAGGAGGTAGTACAAAATATACCAGGAGGATTGCCTAAAGCATTATCTATTTTTATATTCCCTATATTTTGAAGTATATCTCTTTTGGAGAACTAACAGTAAAACTTTGTCATCTTTGACTAATTACAAACAATTTAGATTTTCTTTGCAAAAAATGCATGCTAGACATTAGATGGCAAACCAGCGCAAAGTTCAAATCCGATATACCTAAGAGAGTGATCCCCGGTACTTATAATTATCTCAACATGCGCTCTTCCACATCATCGAAATCGTTGTAACTGTTAGATTTACTAGCTTGATCCACTAGCATCTTATTTGATTTATTATTTACCAGCCGGGTACCACTAGATCCGAATGTATGGCCCAGATGAAATAAAAACAGCCTTCATCACCCCATTCGGGTGCTTTTGTTATATCACGTTGTCATTTGGACTGAAAAACGCTGGGGCGGCTTTTCAGCGCATGATTCAGAAATGCTTGCAAAAGCATATCAGTCGGAATGTAGAGGCCGACATGAATGACATCGCGGTCAAGTCTAGGAACGGTTCTGACCTCCTAGCAGACCTCGTCGAGACATTTGCAAATCCGAGCACATTCGAAATAAAGCTCAACCCGGCCAAGTGCACTTTTGGGATTCCAGCCGACAAGTTACTCGGTTTCCTCATTTCCGAACATGGAATCGATGCTAACCCTGAAAAGATTGGCGCGATAGTTTGAATGAAGCAACCAGAGCACCTCCACGAAGTGCAAAGACTCACGGGTTGTCTGTAGCCCTGGGCAGATTCATTTCACGACTCGACAAAAAAGCCCTGCCGCTTTACCGACTCATGAAATAATCAGATAAATTCAAGTGGACGACTGAAGCACAGGCTACGTTCCGGGAACTCAAAGCTCTGCTCTCCACCAAGCCGGTGCTCGCTGCTCCAGGCAGTCGAGAGCCTTTGCTCTTGTACATCGCAACCATGAATCAAGTGGTTATAGCACCGTGCTCACTGTGGAGCGTGAGGAACAAGCAAAGCCTTCAAGACCCAGCTACTAGTTTACTACATTTCAGAAGTCTTGACCCCTTCCAAGCAAAGATGCCTGCACTATCAGAAATTGGTTTATGGCATCTACCTGGCTACAAAGAAAGTGGCTCGCTATTTTCAGGAGCACTCAGTTACTTTTGTGAGGGATGCTCCGCTGTCCGAAATCATGAACAACAGAGATGCAACGGGCCGAGTGGCCAAGTGGGCTATCGAGCTCCTCCCTTTGGACATCAAGTTCGAAGCCAAGAAAGCTATCAAATCTCAACCATTGGTGGATTTTCTGGCCGAGTGGATGGAACAACAGCAGCCGGCCCAGAGCCTCCCCGAGCACTCGACCATGTTCTTCGATGGCTCGGGGGCTAGAGTAGTCCTAATTTATCCTAAGGGAGACTGACTCAGCTATCTGCTGCAGATTCACTTTGATTCTCCAACAGCAAAGCCGAGTGCGGGGCCCTCTTCTATGGACTGTGAATGGCTATCTCACTTGGCATCCGCCGACTGACGGTCTATGACGACTCGGATCTTGTGGTGAACCAAGTGATGAAAGAATAGGACATCCGCACCCCGACCATGATAGGATACTGCAATGTAGTCAGGAAACTGGAGAAAAACTTCAAGGGGTTGGAGTTACACTACGTTCCCCGACTCAAGAATCGGGTCATTGATGATTTAGCCAAGATTAGTTCCACTCGGAAGGAAGTACCTAAGAATGTGTTCCTTGATCATTTGCACTCCCGGACGATCAAAACAAATCCCTATGTAGAGGAGCCCCCGCAACCAGCGGACTGTCCAATCCGACTGAAGTTGATATTCCGTCAGTGATCAATTTGGTTCACAAAGTGATGAAGATCATTCCCGAGTGGACTGAGCCGTACATAGTATACTTGCTCAGGCAGGAACTCCCCTGAGATGAGGTGGAGGCCCGCCAGATTGTCCATCGATCGAAGGCTTGCACTGTCATGGGTGATCATCTCTACAAGAAAAGTACTTCTCGCGTTGTGCAATGCCGTGTTTCACCAGAGGAAGGGAAGCAAATCTTGAAGTAGATTCACTCGGGAACATGTGGTCACCATGCGTCCTCTCAAACACTGGTTGCCAAGGTGTCTCGGGCGGGCTTCTACTGGCCCCGCGCCAATGAAGCAGCCAGATACGTTGTAGAACAACGCATCGAATGCTAGTTCTACGCGAATTAGTCGCACACGCTAGTATTTGCGCTAAAGACAATTCCCCTCACGTGGCCATTCGTCGTCTGGGGGTTGGATATGATTGGACCCCTCCGGACTGGGACCAGCGGGTTCACTCATCTGTTGGTGCAACTGGACAAATTCACCAAGTGGATTGAAGTGAAGCCCATCAACAAGTTGGACTCGGCCACAGCGGTCAAATTCATCATAGAGATAATTTTCAGATTTGGAGAGCATCATCATTGACAACGGGTCGAACTTCGACTCGGGCGAATACCGCGAATTTTGCTACACACAGAGCACTCGGGTCGATTACGCCTGCGTGGCTCACCCGCAGTGGAATGGTCAGGCAAAGCAGGTGAATGGCTTGATACTCCAAGGGCTAAGCATGTGCCTCATGCACGACCTAGAGCATGACATAGGAGCATGGGTCCCGGAGCTGCCATCGTTCCTCTGGGTTGTGGACGACTCTGAATCGATCCATGAATCTGATACGTCTCCAACATATCAATAATTTTTTATTGTTCCATGCTATTATAGTATCAATCTTGGATGTTTTATATGCAATTATATGCTATTTTATATCAGTTTTTGGGACTAACCTATCAGCCTAGTGCCCGGTGCCGGTTCCTGTTGTTTGCTTGCTTTTGGCTTTTTAGAAAAACAATATTAAATGAAGTCCAAATGGAAAAAAAGTTTGGATTAATTTTTTCTGGACCAGAGGGACCCTAGAAGGTTCAGGAGGAGGCCAGAAGAGCTATGGGTGAGCGACAAGCTTGTAGGGCCTGCCCCTTGAGCTTGTGGGCCCCTGGTACCATGTCTTGACCTAATTTTGCCTCTTTAAATTCATGAATATTCCCAAACCAACAAAGCGCCACCCGAAACAATTTTTCAGCGACTGCAAGCTTTTTTTCTTCTACTATCCCATCTGGAGGCCTTTTTCGTTATTCTCTGTGGGAGGAAGAATCAATCACGGAGGGCTTGTACATCGTTCTTGCTGCCTTCCGATGATGCGTGAGTAGTTTACCACAGACGTGTGGGTCCATAGCTAGTAGCTAGATGGCTTCTTCTCTCTCTTTGATCTTCAATACCATGTTCTCCTCGATGTTCTTCGAGTTCTATCCGATGTAATCTTCTTTTGTGATGTGTTTGTTGGAATCCGATGAATTATGGGTTTATGATCTGAATATTTATGAGAAGTAATAGAGTTTTTTCTCAACTTTATTATGCATGATTGTTATAGCTTTGTATTTATCTCCGATCTATCTGTTTGGTTTGGCCAACTAGATTGATTTATCTTCAGTGGGAGAGGTGCTTTGTGATGGGTTCAACCTTGCGGTGCTATATCCCAGTGACAGAAAGGTGCCATTAATGGTAAAACGATGGGGTTTATTCATATTAACTGAGTTTACTTTGTCTACATCATGTCATCTTGCTTAAGGCGTTACTCTGCTTTTATTAACTTAACACCCTAGATGCATACTGGATATCGGCCGATGAGTGGAGTAATAGTAGTAGATGCAGGCAGGAGTTGGTCTACTTGTCTCGACATGATGCCTATATACATGATCATTGCCTTGAATGTCGTCATAACTATGTGCTTTTCTATCAATTGCCCAACAGTATTGTTCACCCACCCTATGTTATGTGTTCGAGAGAGAAGCCTGTAGTGAAAACCATGGCCCCTGGGTTTAATTAATCATATTACAAA